GGAAGGTTTGTACGTATACACGAGAAAAATAGTAACGAAAAAGGATCAAAAATACAGTCCCTCTAAGGAGATCCAGAGAAAAAAAAATACGTCTAATCGGATTCGGTTCGATCACGTGGTCGATTACCGTGGAACTTCACAAAAAATGTCCAGAGAAATTCGTGTTTCGCGTGCGATCTCCATAAAGGGACGACGATAGTGTACAAAGATATACTACTACTGATACAAGGAACTAAAAAAGAAAAACCTGCCAATTGGGTTTTGATGCACGGAAAGAAAACCAGAGCCACAAAAACGGTATTTCTCAAATGGCTGGAAAAAACGTGTAGTACAGGCCCGCCCGTCGTGCGGCGGGAAAATTCAAAAGTTCGAACGAAAAAGATCGTCGATTCTTGGTCTTTTTCGACGCGCGGAAATGCAAGGAGATTCAATTTCTTCTAAACGTAAATCGAGGAGCGTCTTGCATTCCTTGTGAAACTTGACTTTCGACGAATTTCGACAGCGAAAATACGTTCAAATCGGGCCCCGAAAAAGAAAAAAACGAAAATACAAAAATCTGGGCCGGCCATCGACGGGCGGGGGAAAAAAAATTGTCTGCGCGAAAAAAATCGTAGCATCGGATCGGTATTATCGAAAACGATCGTCCTTACCTCCTTGTCCTCCTCTTCGAGGGTGAATTCCTTCTTCTTGACCTGTTTCAGCTGGTTACGGAAGTTGAACTCGGCTGCCTTCTTCTGGAGCTTGGCGAACTTGTTCTCGTACTTGGACACCTTCTTCAGCGTAGGTTTCATGCTGCGAACATCGACGAATTGTTAGAACTCTCCAAAACGAAGAACCGATTTTTCAAAACGATTGTCCAACTTAACGTGAGCACCTTGAATATCTTATTTGTTTTTGAGGATACAAACAAAATATGAATTGGGACAGTGTTATTTGGTAGAAAGGGGTAAATATTGTGGTAAACAAAAAATTTTTTTGAAGGTCATATTTTTCGAATTTTCTAGGTCATCGGTGTATTTTTAAATGGGACAGCATATTTTTATCATCGTAACGTAATAGTCGAGGTCAAGAACAATCCAGTACCTTATAGTAATATGACCTTCATTTGACCTTGAGTACGAAAAATCCAGAAATGTAAGATTTATATAATAAAGCAATCACAATAGAGGGATTAGTGCAAAAATGTGTCTAAGTTGATGGACATTTGTTAAAATAATTTTTCTGCAAATCAAACGTGAAATATTTAAGATGCACGCGTTAAATGGGACACCCAGTACAACGAAGAACAGAATGGAATCGAAAAAGGGATTACTTACAATTTACCTCGGAGGTCGTTCACTTGGCTGTTCAAGTCCGCGATCTGCACCGATCGAAAATCGAATTAGTCTTACGTCCCGATCAGTCTACATTCGATTGTGGTCATGCGAGCTTTCCATCGAATTTTCATCCGTGGAAAACAAGGAATCCAAAGAAACTACGTCTATCGAAAGCTCCCAATAGGATATACCCCGAAGAAGATTTTCATTCTTAAATCAATTCGCTAGGTTCGATCGCATCTTGACTCAATGGAGTTTCCAATTGGACAGAGGTTCTTCGGAAACATCTTTAAACAGGATATACGATATGTGCTCGACGGAAGGTTCTTCCTTCCGTTGGAACAGAGAGCACGTTGGACGGTGGTTAAAAACATCCAAACAAAGCGTATACGTTTCCTTTAATCACAGCAGCAAAACATACACGCAGCACAACACGTGAGATAGAAATAAAAAAAAAATAAATAAATAAAAAAACGAAGATGTGACACAGGTGTTAACGAGAAAACGTATATATGTATGCACACATGGTCGAAAACGAACGAGCAGCAATCGATTAGCGGACGAAAGAACGAGATAGACAGATAGATAGATAGAAACAGAGCAACGGTGTGTGAACCAGCAGAAATTAGCATGCTACCTGCGTGCCGAAAGCAGGCGAACGGGTATGGAGAAGGGATGGAGGGGGTTGGTTGGCACACGGATTCGCAGCGAATACAGAGATGTTCGGTTAGCGAGCCACTCGACCAGTCGAGATTGACAGTAAATTGGCTTGCTGATTAACTGCAACGCCAGGTAACGATGATGGGAACGGATGGGAAAAATGATCGCGACCGGAACCGTGGGGAGGATGGTCGACGACGGAATATTAGGTGGGATGCACAGGTAAAGGGGAGAAAAATAGAAAATCGGGATGGACCAGCGAGTAGATCGAACTTGTACGTACACAATTGCTCACTGAAGTATCTGTTGCCTTTTATATATGACATACAGGGTGAATCAATAAGAACTAGTATCTAAAATAACTTATTACTTATTGGTTGCATCAGAAAACGTTTTAATGAATTATGTAACATTTTAAGGAACGCATCGAATGGACACAATTTGATTTTCTTTTAGATATTGAGGTGACTTCGAGTTTTTATTCTTAGGTCAATGTATTTTTTTTAATACCACCATGCTATTGGTGGTTCAATTCGTCCTTCCATCGACTCAAGGTCACCTTGATATCTCAAAAGAATAAGATATAAGAATTGTATCCATCTGATGTGTTCCTTAAAATGAATAAAATTAATTAAAATAATAATTAATGATAAAATAAGAATAATTAGTAAAATACTAAAACTAATTATTAATTTGTAATTCATTGAAACGCTTTTTGATACAACCAATAGGTAACGAGGTATTTTAGATAGTAGTTCTTATCGACTCAGGCCAATCACGAGCAAACTCAACTTCCACTAGGGGACAAAGTGACGTAGAAAAAGGAGCCTTCAGAATTACTGAAATTTATGCCAAATTAACATTCGATTTAACATTTATTTCCATAATCAATTCCCTCCTCTTACACCGCTTTTTTTCCCTAGTGAAAGCCGAGGTTGCTCGTCAGGGTACATAAAGTTCGTTTCGCGTGGTCGAGCAAAGAAACCGAGCCGTACTGATAAAAACCGTTCCGACATCGCTGTGTCATCGTTTAACGTCGAACAGCGTGTCCGATTTAGCGAAACGGAATAACGTGAATTAATGCCCCGACGATACGTCAAGTCTATTCTTCTCCCGGCAAACGACAGAGAATCCTGCCGCCAGGTTGGTAGGGGTGGTTTGGTAGCGGGGTGGGTTTCCCTTCATCTTCGGGTAAAAGTGGCCGCTTTTCTTCCGAGGGGTCTTTCAAACGAATTGATTCTCTAGTGTCTCCAAAGGATGGCTTCCTCAAAGGTAAAACTTCCTACGGAAGCCACTTGTCGGATTCTCCCCACCCCTCCGAGAGACGCTCGAAGTCTCCTTTCCCCGGTTTTTACCTCCACCTCGATCCCTCCGGTCGACCAAGTCGAATAGGGAGACAAGGAGAAATGGGTGCAAAAACGAGAGATCCGTCGGAGGGGGTGCAGAGATCGACGGTATTGCGCATAGAGAGCGAAACAAAGAGGGGGGTGGGTGGAACAAACCTGGGATAAAACTGGGGTTAGAGGGGGGGGTGGGCGAGTAGGGGGTACGGCGATGATAGGATGTGAATTTCATTCTGGCCAATCAGGGGTTCGGGCTGGTCACGATCAGCTCTTTGTCCACAGGGGGGGGGGGGGAAGAGAACAGAGAGAAAAAAAAAGGAAATAAAATTGTAAAACGTCCACTACAATCCCTTTCCTGGTCCGATGGAATTCCGTTCCTCTCGCGCCAGCCGCGACGGATCGGTTAATTCTTTAGATTGGAAATTTAATCGAGTCTACCTCGACGTGATATCCTATTTTCCTGAATCGAACAGTGTGTACTCTCGTCTGTGTATAACGTTATCGAGCTGTTTGCTCTCCGGTTCAAACACCTCCAGAGGGAAAATGATATTTCCCACCTGAAGGGGATACAGAGGGAGGTACAATCAACTCGACCTGCGATTTTTATCTTTAATTACTGTACAGTTAAACGCGAGTGAGCTAACGCGACGGACAATGGTTCAGTGAACGTGGAGGAACAGATTTCCGCCGGAAAGGATTCGCTATTTACAGGCCCAATTGAACACCATGACAAGAGAGGACACTGACAGTCGGTGGGGGGAGGCTGGTGGTGCGTGCGAATCGGTGCAAAATCAATTTCGCTCGTTCCCATTACGACATCGTAGACGCGTGTACGTGTTCGCTTTCACGTCTCTTTCACAGGGACACAAATGTACGGGTGGGGGGGGGGGTAGTAGATGGAGAGGGAAGAAGAAAGATGAAAATCCGTTATCGTTTCTTCACTTTCACCACACGTAACAACGAAGGATATTCGGGGGTGATTTGTACACTGGGTGATTGTTTGTGGTGGTCAGACGAACGACACAGAGAGAGAAAAAAAAACCACAGGGGGGACAGAAAAAAGTGGGGTGGGGGCAGGGGTGGTGGCTCGGAGAATTTCACAGCATGGCACTTCGGTCTCGTGATCCTGTTTCAATCCGGGGCCCTCCAGACAGTCCACCTTCGTGAGAGTTAAACAGTGGAACAGAGATAGAAAAGCGTGGAGAGAAAGATAGAGAGAGAGAAGAGGTGACAGACAACCAGCTACACGTTCGGGGGGGGGGGCGGTTGGAAGAGATACGATGTAGTGAACGGACAAAAAAATTCTTCTTTTCTTTTTCATCGAACACGCGATCTAGGGGCAGTCTGAAAAAAAAAGAAAGGGGGACAGGGGCAGCAACAGTTCCAATAGGCGGGTGACATTCTACGGGTACAGGGTGTTTCACCTAACGTGACCACCTTTAGTATCTCACTTGCTTTTGATTCGCGGGAAATTCATTTTAATAAATGCTCGAAGTGATTTTCATCAACTTCGATACATTTAATATACATATTTTTTATTATTTGAATATACTCTCATAGATTTGCGGATTATTCGTACTCAAGGTCACATGAAGGTCACACTATTATAGGTCATTGGATTTGTTACGTTCTCGACGATTACGCCACGCTAATAAAAATATGTAGTCCTCTTTAAAAAAAAGCATAGGTGACCTTGAAATTTCGAAAAACATGACCTTGAAAGAAATTTTTACTTATCACAGCATTTTCTCCTTGTAACCCAGTAATACTTTCCCGTCGTATTTTTTTTCTCTTATCTTCAAAAACAAGTGACATATCGAAGGCGCTCACGTTAGGTGGGACACCCTGTATACCTACGATTTTATCAGCGATATTTATTGTTTAATGTACGTCCTACGATGCTCGTAGAAAATGTCCTCGCCCGTTTTTAATATTCCTTAATATTCCTTCCTACCGATTTTACGAACACGATTCTGTTTTTTTTTTTATCGTGAAACGTGTAGATTATCGTTTATTTGTTCTTTTCTTTTCTTCCCTCGCGGGGAATATGAAGTGCCATACTTCCCTCTCGCGATCTCTGAAGCCCAACGAATCGTTGTGTCATCGGCGACGCGATCGAATCGTCTCGATTCTCCTCGCGATCGGCCGGAACCGAAGTTAACACTAGCTTTACGGGACGCGTCATTTTGACGAATTTTGAATGCCTTGTAATCTCGAAATTCTCTATGTGGTATACCTATCTCTACCGGTACACGTCAATTTGACGCGATCGTAAATTGAGTATTAACACTAGAACTACCAAGCAAGTCAAAATGACTTGTCAATACACTCTTACAACGACGATTAAAATGTTATGACAATACATTTTCTCAGATCTTGATATGAAAGTGAAGAAATCAGACAATTTCTAAATTTCTAAATTTTCAAAAGTCTTTCACGTTTATCTAGTGTTAAATAAAAGAAGTTTTCTTTTTATAGAAAATGTGCAGTTTCGTTGACGCGTGTCCGTAGAGATAGGTATATAAAAAATGTCCGTAAACCTAGTGTCAATAAGAGAAAGAAAGATATACAGGGTGTAACAAATATGTTGGAGGACCCGGAAATGGGAGACTACTGACGTAATTTCAAACAAGTTTTTCCTTAGCAAAAATATTGTCAGATGCTTCGTTAACGAGATATTAACGAAAAACCGCGACCAATCAGAGCGCGAGTCTGCCGGCCGGGTTCCCGCGGTAACCTTGGCTACCAATCGCAGCGCTCTGATTGGTCGGGGTTTTTCGTTAATATCTCGTGAACGAAGCCTCGGATAACATTTTAGCTAAGGAAAAACTTGTTTGAAATTACGTCAGTAGTCTCCCATTTCCAGGTCCTCCAACATTTTTGTCACACCCTGTATTGCGATGGCGTTCGCGTGTAGCGTGAACAATATCATTGTTCCATGCTGTTAATTTGCGACATCAGCAGTAATTTACTTCGAAACTAGAAAATAATAACGTGAACGATCCCGTGGTGAATCGTCAGAAAAAATTGCTTGAAAATCA